CCCAGGAGCCCAGCATGAGTAGAGGTCTCTTTTTTCCTCTTGTACTTTCCCATTGTAGTGTATATTTCAGTGGTTTTCTGTAACGCTACCGATCTCCGACCTGTATCACCATGTGATGTCTGTTTTGTGTGTGTAAGGTTAGGGTTGGGGCGGGGGGGGCTATTTCATTGCAAGGCAACCTGCATGTGGCGAATAAAGCCTTGGTTGATTGATTGAATACTTCTTCCTAAGCTTGCTGGCTGATACTCCACCCTCTAGCCCTCCAAATATGGAGATGTGTTAAGGACCCTCTACAGCTCTGTTCAGCTCTCCTAGAGTAACTTTCTGTCTCCTGGAATATCCTCCATGCTCTTGACACTGTCCTTGGAGACACAGCAAAGCGTATTTGCTCCAGCATACAATACTGGAGGAGTTGGACTAACTGTACAGCCTCTTTGCGGTCTGACAGATGGATTTCCTGAAAGACTGTCTGTAAAAAAGAATAATATAAGTGCAGGAAGTTGTGTTTGCAAGAACACCCACGCATTAGAGCGTTCCAATTCCCCTGTCGGACCGAAGCTGAGTATGTATTTGTCAGTGCTGTTTCTTTATGCAAAAGCAGCTTGAGGAGCAACCTGGTGTGGCTGCAGCTCAGCTGTGTGGGTTTTTTTTAAATTTATTTGTTTGGTACAGGAAACATTTTTTGTGTTATGTTTGCAAGATCTGCTGTGGATGAGGAAAAGAGGAGAAGGAAAATTAAACGTGACCATCCGTACGTTGCAGCTCTCATCGTTGGTGGGTCTGTGCGGCAGGATGAAGGCGGCGCTGTTGAGCGGTCCGTTACACGAGTCTGTAGCTTGTGTGAAGTCTAAGCAGCTGGTCAGGACCACAAAGTAGTGAGTGGGGATTGGGATTGTACCACTTATATACCTGCAAGAGAAGATCAAGGTCAGGAAGCTGTTCCACAGTTAAAAATATACATGTATATAATTGACCCTGGAGTAAGGAGGTTTAACAGAAACGTCGAAATATTAAGTGTGCCTACTCTCGTATCTTCTCAGCTGAGTCTCTGACACCGTCATAGTTGTAGTCAAATATGGGTCCAGTCAGTACATTCACTCCATTTCTCTCAGTGGCGTATTTCTTCACCAACACTCTCTGGAAATAACCCCATATCTCTGAGAGGGAGAGAGATGATGGTGGTGGATTAAAAGCATAAAACAGAGAGTTCACTGAAGCTGGGGTAAAGACTTACTCTTGAATGCTGGATACATGGGAACAGTGTTGGTGATGAGGACAGCATCGGATTTTTTGTCCAGATTTGACGACAGTTCTGTCAGCAAGGAAAAAAAAAGGATTAATGTGGTAAATAAAGTCATGGAATACGATCGAGTGTGGGAAAAAAGAATAATAATATGATTGTATTATTATTGTATTACGGAGCCCCGCAGGGGACATGGGAGAAAAAAAAA